AAAAGTTTTTAAAAAAAATTATATAAAAATAGAGTTTTATTTTAATTCAAATTTATGTAACATTGTGACATTAATATGCAATTTCAAAGCAAAAATATTTCTAAAGTAATAAAATGCAAAAAATTAAAATTAATTTTCTATACTATGAAGGAATCATACTTCTAAAAATATTACAAAGAAATATATTTTAAATTTAAAATTGCTGTTAAGATTAAAGTTAAAATATTTGAAGAAATTTTAAGAAAACAATTTTGGTTTTATATTTTACAATGTATGTATATTTATGATTTTACGACACTTTTACAGTAATTTTTGATAATATAAAGTATTGTTTATTATTGAAAAGTATTATTATTATTTGGAAAAAATTAGGTACATATCTCTACAATAAAACTTGTTAGATAAATATATATATTCGATTATAGATAATTTTATTATTATTATGAAAAGGGATAGTATACTGCGACCTAAAAGATCTATTGTGCCCCTTAGTCGTATTAGAGTGTTTCTCCAAGTCCGAGATCTTTAATGAAAGTTAGTATAGGGCCTATCTTCCCCAGTCTTAAATCTCTATGTTTCTTGAAATATTCTCCTAGATGTCTTCCGCTTCTGCACCAGTACCGGACACTCCCCTAGCACATGGTATGCGTTTTCTCTACAGCATATAGTTGGATTGGATTCCTAATTTTGGCAGCCTTTCCTAAAAGAGTTCTCTTTGTTTTTCTTCTGTGCCATTCAAAAGAATGGATAGAGTTTCTTTCCCTAGACCACAGAAAGTTTTTAGGTCTATCATTATTGAAGCCGAGACTCTTCGTGCGAGTTTGTCTGCCATTTCATTGCGTTGAATACCAGCATTCACTGGAATCCATATTAAGTGCACCTGATTGTTCCAACCAAGTATGTTTAGCTTGGCAATGTACCTCCATACCAGTTTGAATGTTCCCTACTAGGATATGAGTGCCATTATAGCTGCCTGGCTGTCAGTCAGTATTGCAATTCTATTTTTCCAAAGAATGGATAGAATTCCTTTCCCTCGACCACAGAAAGGTTCTGGGTCTATCATTACTGAAGCCGAGTGTCTTCTTGCGAGTTTGTCTGCCATTTCATTGCATTGAATACCAGCATTCACTGGAATCCATATTAAGTGCACCTGATTGTTCCAACCAAGTATGTGTAGCTTGGCAATGCACCGCCATATCAATTTGGATGTTACCTGCTAGGATATTAGTGCCATTATAGCTGCCTGGCTGTCAGTCAATATTGCAATTCTATACTTCTGGTAGTTGTGTTCAAGGTTGAAATTGATGCATCTATCTATCGTATATATTTTCGCTTGAAAGATGGTGAAATTTCTTCCTAGTGCTTCCGAGTACGTTTTGCCTGGTCCATCTACACCAGCTTCGTCTGTATACCATGTTATCATGTTTTCCCTTATTATTTAGGTTACAGGCAAGCGTTCCCATTTCTTTTTGTTGCCAAGTTCAATTTTGAAGTTTTTTCTGATGTTATATTTTACAACCATCTTGTCTGTTGAAATTTTAGTTTCTGGGATTTGTTTAGCAAAAATATTACGTTTCTCACTATTGAGCCCATGACCCATCATCTTGTTTGTAATTACTCTTAATGCTCGCCTTTAATTGCACATGAATGTGAATAGATGTGAGTTCTAGTAGTATTTCAAATAATGACGTAGGACATGTTCGCATTGCTCCGGTTATACTTACACACGCTAGTCTCTGTAATTTGTTGAGTGTATTGATAACAAAATAATAAGTTACTTATAGCGTTTCCCAATTCACGAAATATGGTTATAGTTCTTGAATAGATAGCAGAAAGTAGTAAATAAGAAATGGAGGTGACTACATGTTATAAAGGAAAAAAAGAGTCCTTGTGCAGAAAATACTGTTAATAAGACAGTATATTTCAACTTGTTACTGTTAATTTGTTTACTGTTTCTCTTTAAAGGAGTCTAGTACTTACAACAAATTTAGAGATTAAAGAATTAAGTGTATTTCCCGCTTTTCAACGAAATGATCTTTTGTTTTTTTTTCAAATTTCGATTTTACTA